ATAATTGGTATGAAATATAAACTTAAATACACCTTGGCAACTTTATTATTAAGACTAGGAAAAAAAATAAACTTTTCCAAAATCAATCTAAAATAATTTTATTAAAATAGATCACAAAGCAATTTTGTACAGTGCACTTGCCATTGTTAATAGTGTGTCTGCAGGACTGTTACCCAAAAAGAGAGGTCTTTGGGTAACAATCTCTGTCAGGTGTTGGACCTGGCTCTGCAACTCCCCCAATATTTGCAGAAGGATCCTCTCTGTTGCTGTAAGGTCAAAAATAGAGAATATAGCATTAAATACTTAGACATACATCAAGACAGATGTAGATATAGATTTGTTTTCAACTTACGTGTGCATTGACTTGGTATAAGTTGCCCTGTGGATAACGAAGTTCTCGAAGGAACATCTGTAAGAACAAGACAGTAAAAAATTACTCTAAAACCCTAAGTGATCACAATTACTATCTTGTATTATATTGAAAACTGAAAAGCACAATTGTGATAATTTTCAGTATGCACATGTATTTTGAGAGTGAACTTACGCCAGCGTAATACAACTCAAATTAATAGTAACATACAAACACATCACACAAAAGGTCGAGCATGGTAATGTTAGCATAGCCATAGATGTTAAAATGGCTGAAGTGCGATAAAAAGTTGTCTTTCAAAGCTGATTTAACAGGGAACAAAATATCTTTTAAAACCACGTTTCTCAACCACTGATGAGCCATGAAGGCTACAGATTGGGCCGCAAATTTAAAATCGAGACTGGCTATAAGACCGTATAGGGCCGCCAGCACCACGTTTAAGTCTAACCATGATGCATTGCATCAGGACCAGAATGCATTGCTTTAAATCAGTCCTGTAAACCCAAGGCACAGTGTGTGTATTGTGGATTAACACTTTCAAACGAGGCTCTAAAACCATCAAAACTCAAGTGGCATATCGAAACAAAGCACCCAAAACTTATTGGAAAACCACTGGAGTACTTTCAGCGAAAACATGATGGACTACAACTGCAGAAGCAGACCATTGTCTCCCTAACAACACACACTTATTTAACAACAGTTGCATGTATAGCCATCTGACATTGCCAAGGCTTCACCCACAATGGGACATCTCTCAATAGATCCCCACATAAGTGCGCACTCTTATTTAAAATACTGTCATATAAACAGGATATCAAATAAACATTATCGGTAATAACAAGAAACTTTTAACAATGTCCAGTATATAAAATAGCTATGTAAATCATACCATACCCTATAATATTATTATAGTAATATTACTACTTCCAGAGGCAAACAAACCCTTTTCTAAACAAGATCCGACGTGATGCGTAGTTTTCCCTACCAAAAAGCGACCTTCGACCTAAACGCGACGATCCGATGTTTCGACGAGCAACGCTTTTCAACACCGTGACGGTCTGACGTTTTCGCGCATAAAACGCGATGCTTCGTAATGGAACGCAATCTAATTGCGACCATCTGCCATTTATGCGACATGGCCTACTTGTGCTGTTCAACTGGGTCGTGGTACCTCAGAACTCAAACTTAATCCTTTCAGAACTCTGGATCGAATCCTAAAAAGTTCGAGTTCTGATAGAATTTTCCCCATAAGAAATATTGGAAAACCAATTAATTGGTTCCAGGCCCCAAAAAATCACACCTAAATATGTTTTTTGTTTTTGAGCATTTAAACACAAAATAAACCGGATAAAACAAGAAGAGCATATACTGTACTAAACACATCTAAGCACATTTATCAAAACAGTAATTTTTAAAGTAAGAAAATGAATGTATCCAAACAATGTGTCCTGCCCCGATTGTCCGCTCCTTCTGTGTGCCACGGCCCCTCGTTAACCCCGTGTGGAATCCCCGTGTGATCAGCTATTTCTGGTTGCTGTCATGAGTCCTCCGTATTTAGTCCGCGTTTCAGTTTGTTTCCCCAGTCCAGTCATTGTATTGTCCGTCTGCGTTTTGCCTGCCTCACCTGTAATTAAACCCCATATTCCCCGATACCCTGATGTCTGCGCCTTTGTCTCCATTCCGTCCCCACTGGGCACAACAATATTATTATAATTAAATGTATTAATGGTTTATTATTAATATAAAAATAATTCATAAGAAAACTTTCTTTTTAAATGTATTTGTTATATAATTTTTTTCGAACTATTTGGTTATTCGAGTTATAATGAGTTTGAGAACTGAGGTATTTACCTTGTTTAACCACAGTATCTCCTCTTTTAAAAGATGTTGCAGCTGCTGCTCTGTCTAAAGCCCTGCAATGGCATACAATTTGATTGTTGTTGTCAAAACAAAAACTTAAACGGTCAAATTGTCGATAGATTAATCTATAGAAAAATAGTCATTAGTGGCAGCCCTAGATCTCAGCACAGGAATCGTTAGTCGTTGATGGTGCTGTTCGGGGATCTCTGCTGGGGAACCATTGGTCTATAGTGCCGCTGTGCAGAGTTGTCTACCCAGGAACTAAGAAGGACAGTTTGGAGACAAACTGCTGGTAAAATTCCCGCTCAGCTGGTTGGGTCGCTTGTGGCACAGCAGCGAACTCTGTCCAAGGTTCTGAAAGGCCGGCATGAGACACTGTATCTCCGGGCTGTCGTTTTGGGTGTCTTCCAAAGCTAATTAACCTTGGGAAGCTCGCACAGGAATTAGCTGAGCCCTCCAGGTTGACGCATTATCCTCCTCCGGTCTGAGCTCTACCTCCCGTGACTCTGTAGTGATTCCCCGCCAGTTATTGAGTGCGGTCGATGTTCCAGTTGCATCAGCTGGTTCACTGCCAGATCTCCACTGCCAGAGGTCCATTGCTGCTGTGGGTGCTGTCTTGAAGCCAGAAGTGATAATATAATGGTATTTTTCATTAAACTGTGTATGGCAAAGCAACAATGGTCAATGATATGACATTAGGATAAACATACTCTCACTGTAAATGGCTCTAAAAATGTTTTATATATGCTCTGTTTAGTTAAAAAATAGGCAATGCCAGGGCAGGCAGGCTAAATTTATCTGGTGTTGATACAGATATGCTAGGTAGTTTGTGGGTATGGCAGATAATGTATTATAGTAGTATATCAAAGTTATTTGTAATCATCAATGGGTGATGACTACTTGTTTTGTTCTGTAACAAGGTAGTTAGTGTTTAGAAAGTTTGACTGACTTTTTCCCTGTATAATTCCTGAGCTTTTTACTGGCCTATGCTATCTACCCAGGTGGATTTATTGATCGTTACTGATTTTAAGAGCCTGAGCCCATGAAACTTACTCCTAGCCGAGTCCCAGCTGGCCCAAATTTACACAGAGGACTAAAATGGAGCCAGAGGAGAGACCTGGGGTGACTTGTGGACTTAGTGATTTAGTGAGAAGGCGTGTTGGATGTCAGATGTGAGTTCACATCTTTGTTCCTAAATTAATTTCAATGTTTATTTCCCAGGTTTCTGCTCATTCTTTCATTATGAAATGACTTTGCTCCAATACCCTGGTATATCAGGATCCATTTAGCGTGTACCACACATCTTTTGCTCAAAGAATATTGTTTAAGCATTAAAGCATACTTTAAAGTACTTGTACTCTGCATGATTACAATGAAGCTGAATCTGAATCTGAAATATACTTTCTATTTGAAGGTCACTCACTAAAGAATATGCCTCAATAATCATTTCAGTAACTTTCTAGGATAGAACCTGGGAGGACAAAGTATGTGGCTGTTTGGACCTGAAGGACACCAAAGCATTATTGGTGACAGGCATCTAGCCACCTCCTGAAGTGATGTCTTTCTCCATATGAATAGTCTGGTTTTCATGATGACTTCATCCAGTCGTCAGTGTTTGGTGAGGCACATTTCAGGGACACCTCACCTGTGCTTGAGCCCATTCGGTTATCTTTAGGAAGAATGTAAAATACAGAGCTGTGCACCGTTTCGAGGTGGCAGCTTGCTGTGTATCGCCTGGTTAAGCCGACAGGAAGCCTGGACTCCTCTCTCTGCCCTCCTGGGCAGGAGCCTTTGTCTTGCCCTTGCTGCCAGAGAGGTGGAGGTGTCTGCGAAATGCTCTGGTTCCAGGAAACATCTGCTTCCCGCACAGGCTGGAGGGTTGCATCTGATCCTGCAACATTTATTTCAATTTGCCGATGTTAAGTGGGGGCAGGGAAACAATGTAAAAAGCTCTAAAGAGGCACAGTGCAGTTACTCTGGCTGGCTTTATGCACCATGTGACAGGCCTCTGTTGTTTTTTAATTATATTTATTTATTTCAGTTGCCTTCTGAAGTAAATGGTGCATGTGTTTTACAAATAGCTTGTAAAGCTATAGAGCAGGGCTGTATACATGTTATATATTAACAGGCTTCTTTCTTAGTATTAAACGATAAGAAATCCAAAATGCTTCCAAATCTAAAATGTTTGATACAGTGATGCACCATGGTCAGGGTTAAAATGCCCCCCAGGCAGGAGAGCTTTGGTCTGGAATTCCATTAAATACCAGAGTATATGTCATTAATGAAACAGCATGCTGACATTTTGTTTTTCCTCTGTCTCTCTCTCTGTCTCTGACTGTCTGACTGACTGACTGACTGTCTGTCTGTCTCTGTCTTCCTGTCTATCTGTGTGTCTCTATCGGTTTCTGTCTGTCTGTGATTCTGCCTGTCTGTCTTTGGGTCTCTGTCTCTTTGTCTGTCTTGCTGTCTGTCTGTCTCTTTGTCTGACTCTGCCTGTCTGACTGATTGTCTGTATTTGTCTGTCACTTTCCCTGTATGTCTCTGTGTCTCTTTGTCTGTGTCTCTGCCTGTCTGTCTATCTGTCTGTCTATCTGCCTATCTAACTGTCTGTCTCTCTGCCTGTTTGTCTGTGTTTCTCTGTCTCTCTCTCTCTGTCTGTGTCTCTACCTGTCTGATTGACTGTCCTTGTTTGTCTGTCTGTATGTCTGTTTATGTCTGTCTCTGTGTCTCTTTTCTTGTCTGTCTGTCCATCTGTCTCTGCTTCCATCAGCTTGCAGACCCGGTTTCTACAAAGCCTTCACGGGGAACCTCCGGTGTGCCAAGTGCCCCCCGCACAGCTTCAGCCCTGACGAGGGTGCCATGCTCTGCGTCTGTGAGAAGGGCTTCTTCCGTGCTGAAAAGGACCCTTTCACCATGGCGTGTACCCGTGAGTTCTCATGCTGGCCACCCTCCTATGTCTCTTTCACATATATCTTATATAAACACACATAAAGCAGTTACGATGTATGGTTTTAGTACAAAGATGTGGGAGAACCATTTATTGAAAGTAAATTGTGCTCAGTTAAACTGCTTTATAGTTTTTAATGCAGAAAACAATATCATGCTCCCTGTCTATGGACAAAGTCAAACTGTCAACCTGGCCAGTGGGTGCAGGATTTAAGGCCAAGTTTATTGTAGTTATTATCTGAGTAGTTACTCTTACTCATTCCTTCTTGAACCTGTCCAACCTCTTACCCAGGACATGGCCACAGTTAGCCTACAGCCTCTCGTAGTCTGATAAACCAAAACAGGGACATCCTGGACAGGATGCCAGTCCGTCACAGATCACCAAGCAGGGGACACCCTGGATGGGATGCTAGTCCGTCACAGATCACCAAGCAGGGGACACTCAGGACAGGATGACAGTCATAGGGGTATTTTATTCAAAGCCATTTACACAGTTTGCTGTATTCTATTTTTTGTTGTTGTAATGCACAGGCTTTTACTTTTAGATTTTATGTTCTGAAACTGTTGCTTTTTGGATGAAACTTCTCAGGAAAAACCAGTGTCATCAAACTGTATCCATCTCATTTTGGTAATAACTTATTCTGTTGTACGTGTACTTTTGTATTAGCTAAGCAAATGCAACCAGCAGAAAAATAATTACTCTCAGGCTGAGATGAGACTTCACACTATCATCAAGTATGGTTTAAAAATTGTTGATCCCCAAAAAGTGTAATGTTACAGACTACTGTTGCTTTTTCCCACAAGTTTTTTGTCTGCCTGAATACGATGTAGCAGGAGATTTTTTTATGTGGTCAGGTAGCAGTATCAAGAGTTTGTCAGCGTAATACCATGTTTATTGCTAAAAGTAATGGGAGGATAACAGGTACGCAAGTACGCATTCACCATTAAAACCGATATGTGCAGCAATCGATTGTTGTAACAGCACAAACATGTACTTATTTTATGTGCATTTGCGTTGATTTGACAACATATTTATTGTGCATTTATACCTTTATGTGCTAATTCATATTTCATTTAAAATGCATGGTAATTTCTTGTCACAGCAGTGCAAATGCACATAAAACACATACACATTTGCCAATCGATTGCTGTATGTATTGTCTTTAAAGGTGAATGTGTACTTGTACTTGTGTACCAGTTATGTGCATCTCTGCTTCTAGATATTTTCATTTATATGCTTTGGGTGCGGCTTTACTGTTGACTTTTGTCTGTCCTTAATAATGGGCTTAAAACGGTGCAATCAGTGTCCCTGCAGCTGAAAACAGCCGTGTCGCGTGAAAGGCTTGGCCGATAAGCATCTGCGGCCCAGCGGCAAATCCGAGCTGATGGATGGCATTCCGTGGCAGCTCTCAGGCCGTCAATGGAAAGAATAGAAGCAGATAGCGGTGCGCGCAGCTCGGCGTCCCCTTGGCCTGTCCGGGGAGCGCCTCACAAAGAGCTATTGTCTGTGGGGTTTATTTACAGGCTTCATGTCCAGCTCGTGTCACTGGGGCCACCGGCCGGTGCCACCGTACGGGTCCCCACACAGATCCTCTGAACAGCCCTGCCTCAGGTGGGCATCGACCCTCCACTGCTGTGCTCCTTGAAAAATCCCTCAAGGCAGCCTAGATGCTGGAGATAATCAGCTTTTTGGTTTGATTTGTCTTGGGGTTAAGGAAAAAGGCCCAGTGTTCGGCGTTAGCAGTCAGCCGGCACATCCAACGTGATGTGATGGTAGAATTTCCGAAGGATAGGCCACCACACTGCTCAGTCCTAATAGTGACACACTTAAGGGCTTGTTTTCAATTTGTTTATCGTTTATGTTGATCCACATTACCGTTCCTGGTTAAAAGCCTGATCATGGATAGGTAGGTGTGAGTGTTGCACGTTCCTGCTGGAAGGTCATCTGCGCCACACATACACATATGCTGCCAAAAAATAAATGATGCGTTTTAAGAAAGTGCATCGCCTGGCTGAGTGGTGCTATCAGTGTTTCATTTCCAGCACTACAGGTAGACGACAACTGATAGTCTCTCCTGTGGCTCTGGAGTGTGAATTTCTGGTTCCATCCCTCTGAAGCCTGGCGATTCGCTCTTAATGAACCGTCAGTTTTGATCCCTTGTCCAACAGCCAGTTCTTTTGAAATAATTTCCAATTTTATTTGAAATCCAGTTTAGTCAGTTTTCAGTATGGTTTTATTAGGCTTTATTATTTTTTATTTCAAACATATCTTTCTGCTCAGTTTTTATATAGTTCAGTTTAAGTTTTTGTAATTTTATTTCTAGGCATAGATTGAAAGTTGTAGAGCTATTTTATTTGAGAATTCTATATGAATATACACAGCACATTATGTACTAATGTCCTAAAAATGGGCAAAACATGTTCCAGGTATTATTAATAGTCATTAAAGATAAACAAATCATTACTTTAGCTAAATATCATTAAAAATCAGTAATAAGAAGTACTTGATGTTTTTTTTTTATTTTAGCTATTTTCTGAGGTAACATTTAGGCTATAGTTTTGGTTTTGCAGTTTTTGTATAATTTTTTTTTTATCTTATATGAGTTTACAAATATGTTTTCTTTTGTTTTTTGTTTTCGGTGCCGATAATAACCCTGCTGGCAGCTGCGTGATGCTCTGCCTTCACTCCCTCTCACAGGGCCCCCATCGCCTCCCCGCAACGTGGTCTTCAGCCTTAACGAGACCTCACTCTTCTTAGAGTGGAGCCCCCCCAGCGACACGGGGGGCCGGCGGGACCTCAGCTACAGCGTTGCGTGTAAGAGGTGTGACACGGACTCCCCGCGCTGTCAGCCGTGCAGCGCCGACCTACGCTTCGTGCCACGGTCTCGCAGCCTGACCGAAGCCTCCGTCACTGTGATGGACTTCTCTACCCACACCAACTACACCTTTGAGATCGAGTCCCATAACGGGGTGTCCGGCCAGAGCTCCTTCCCCCGGGCTGCTGTGGCCGTCACCATCAACACCGACCAGGGCGGTAAGTCTCCCTGCCGCTTTTTTACCAGTTAATCTGTCAGCATTAGAAGGCTTTCCTGGGCACATCTAGCTGGTCATTAAGACCTGGGAGTCCTGCATCACGCCAGGCTCGCGAGTCTCAGCCGCCCCTGAGCTCCGACATCAGCCGACTTTCGCTTCTCCTCCACGTGCTGCCACATCGTTCACGCCTCAGCACTCACCCCCTGACATTTTCCCTGGTGCCCCAACTTCAGGGACGTGTTTCATAATGGCACAGCCGCATGCCATGTTTACCGCCCCCCGCCCCACACCGTCCCCGTGTTTGCTCAGAGACCATATAAACCTGCCCACCCCCAATATGCTGGGCTGCTTGCAGAGTCATTACCGGCCAGTGTGAGGAAATGCCAAGACGTCACCTCACGCTGTCCGGCCGCTTATTAATGGTCTGTTTATTGGGAAAAAGTGCTGGCAAAAAAAGCAAAAAGAAACACAAAATGACCTGGAGCGCCTTGTTCCACATGTCATTTATCATATAAACCTGCATGGTCAGTATGTAAGTCAACAAAACCCCTAATAATATACTGGGATGTTCTGATGAGTGTAAAGGGAGACAAATACGTATGTCTCTGCATGACTGAGGGTGTGTGTGTGTGTGTGTGTTTGGGGGGGGTGTGTATATATTATATTGTGGAGACACAATGTAATTCAAAACCGATTATTTTGATATTGTGGGGACATTGTGTTTTTTAAAAACTTAAAATTTCTTGTGTTTTGTTTGTTTACTTAGGGTAAAGCTTTTGGCTGGGTTGGGGTTAAGGTTGACATTGTTGGGATTATGGTTTTTCCCATAGGTATGAAAGGATGGTCCCCACAAATATATGAATACAAACGTGTGTGTGTGTGTGTGTGTGTCTTCTGGGTGATCCCCCACACACACACACAAACCTGGCTGCCCCCCACATCGTCTCATTGCTATCCCGTCACCTTTACCGTTATCAGATTGAACTCAATTAAAGGCAGTTTATCAGTGTGACAGCAGCCTCTGTGTGTATAAACAGGGCATGGGGATGGATCAGTGGCTTGATCTGCTGGCCAGATGTATCAAATAGGTGGACAACAAAGCGGAGAGAGGCAAACAAGGCAGTGCAGCCTTGCCTGAAATGTCAGCGATGTGCCGGGAATGTCCAAGCAAGCTCTTCTTTCTGTGCCGAATCCAGATGGTTACGAATGGTAGCTGTGTGCTCCAACCAGACCAAGCTGCCCTCCCAAGTCTTTCTGAATGACTGAAACACCTGCTGCTTAAGAGAAAGATGTGAAAGATCAACCAACAATTAAATATAATGACCAAAATACAGTTTCTTTGATACCTGTGCTCAGTGAAATCTGTTAGGTCATTAAGGGAAGTGTTGGAAACATTGCAGTTTTCGTTCACTTTCAGAGTCGAGCACTGCAGCTTCTTCCAGTGCCCTGGAAGTATGATGAATTAGGTTGATGCTTTCTCTCCCATGGGAGGAAAGGGCATCAGCTTACTAAATGATTTCCTGTCCCACAAGCTATTTTCTGAAGTGAGGGTGTAAACATCACTTATTGTCGCCATATATCTATCGCGATGTTGACAGTTCTTTTATGTTTATGTCAACACTGCAATAATTAGTATGTTAAGATTTTTTTCTGTTTATATTTTCATGTGTGACTCACACACTGCACCCTTTGCTCCATTGCAGGGTGGATATTTTATATTCATGGTTCTCCTGATCTGCACAAAAAATATCCCATAAAAACTGTATATCAAATCTGACCTTTCTTTACTGTACCCTTCACAGTGCTGGAGATCTTCATGGACTGGCTGTAATTTGGGCATAAACTACATGCACATTCATCTTCTCAGCATGTCCACACATTCCAGCGAGACTTTTATATGGCAGGGGATTATCAGCAGGGTGCGCTGGCCTGCTGTAAATCCGATTCACAGAATCACTTAGTTAAGCATCGTGAGAAATTATAACTGGATTTATGACAGTACCGTTTCACAGGAATAGAACAGTAGCCTTTTCTTGCTGCTTAAAATAATAAAATGGTATTTTTTGAGACAAAGAAGAGTGACTCGATCTATGGATGATTGAAGGCAGCCCTAATGACTAATGGCGGAGTGCATGATCCATCTACAGCAACCGAGAAATGAACGGTCCTTTCTCTGTAGCTGTGTGACTTGTACCTCCAAGAACACTTGTTTCTAGTGAAGGACTCTTCTCATTTCAGCACAGAAAATAGAACCTGGCACATGTGCTGGGGTAATCATACACAAATTCTGTACAAATGTGAAAATCAGACAGATCTGTAGTTTGCGGTCCTTGCTGCTATTCCTGGATGCATATGGCAATCTCATACATGCCTTTGTGTGACGTGCCAGTTTGATAATTCCACTGGTCAGTTGGTTGTAAACACATGTTACAGGGGCTGGACGAAGATTCATAGCATGGTAGGGCATGGGGCTATGTTTTGTGAAGGGTGGATGGGTCTAGCCAACAACAGAGGGTACAGGAAGAACAGCGGAGATGAAAAACAGCAAGCTGACCAATGGCATGTGTATATATATCCTGGTGGAGGGTGACTTAGAGTGATTAAGCCAGGGGGGTGATGATGGGGAAGCCTAGGGTGCAATGGGACTAAAGGGGTTTCATTCATTACTGTAAACAGCCCTGTTCTGGTGCTAAAATACAAAACCTGGTTTTAACACAGAATGGATCATTGTTAGGGCACAGGAAACTTCTGGATCCAGTGTCCAGCTTTTTAACTGTCTGAATGCTCCCCTCTGGCTGATAATTAACCCCGCGCTCACGCTGGTCTGAATAGATTAATCTCATTCTACTCATATGCCTGATCTGTGACTTGTGTTCACCCCATCTCTGTTCAGCAGACACAGATAATTGGTGTGTTGTAATTAGCATGTCTGCAGGGGAACAGAACCGATACAGGGAACATCTCCAGCCAATAGGTCCCGCAGTCAGGAGTGACTGAACCCAGAACTGGAGGGCACTGGAGGATGTGACCCTTATTTTAGCCTGACTGCTCTGAGCGTGCAGAGCGTTGACACGCACTGTGTGTTTAAGTGCAAAACCCAACAAAGTTGAGGCATTATGAAATGTCTGCCAAGCAGCACATGATATGTACCCCAGACTAATAACACCGTCGCCGTTTCCAGCCTGCCACTGTCCACTTGACTGATGCATTGTGGGAGGCGACAGGCCAACACACGTGTCGATCTGTCTGCTACGAGATGGCGGTCTAAGCGGCACCTAACTCTGCCCCCCCAGGCAGGAGGGAGCCTTCGGTGCTTCAGTCCGGCCCGGTCTCACGCTGAATCACTCTGACGGTGTCAGGCTGCATCTTCCCTGCACTCACAGTATCAGGCCTCACTGGCAACGTCCAGTGACTGTAAAGAAAACTGACTCGCTTGCGAGTTGCATGGTAGTGCTGTGCTGACTGCATTTGTCACGTACCTCTGGAGACCTGCATTTTGGCTTCCCAGCCCTGGCTCTAAGGATGTGTACTTAGCATGTCTCCCCATGTTATTGCGTGGTTGCTTCTGGCCTCACTTGTTTGAAGGTGCGTGCAGCTGTCCGTAGGTGTGAAAGGCCTCTATGCCCTGTGATGAGTTGCCACCATGTGCTGGGTTACTCTACCTTGTGTCCACTTTTTTCCAGAATAGGCTTTGCGACACAGTCTAGGATGAACACTACAGAAGACGGATTAATGATTTGGTTGCTGTCCTGTACAGTTCAGTTCAAATTCTGGATGCCTCCTGGATGCACTTTTCTTCTGGATATTGTTGTATTATCTGATATGTGCTCATTAGTTATATATTCACTAAAAAGTATACCAGTGATAAAAAGTGATATTACTTTTTCGTTGCTCATTATCCTGCACTGTATCTACCCTAACCCTAAGCACCTTCCATACGGTCACCCTGCATAAAGAGCTAAAAAGTAAACCTAAAAAGGCCAGCAAGCATGCTATAAATCATGCGCCCCCTAGGGGATATAGTGAAGCGCGACGCTTGATGTCATTGAAATGTCCATATGATGTCGGAAGGCTAGCAGAGTGTTTTGCCACGTTGTGTATAGATGAGATCGGACATCTTTATGCAGCGGCGGCTTCCTACACTGCAATTGGGAAGCGCTTTGTAATAATCGCTCCTCAGATGGGGCTTTATCTTCATTTCTGTCCAAGAAGCCAATTTGATTGAGATAACCTGCACTCTGCCTGCAGGCAGCTTGGGTAATTATGGGGCTGCACCCGCAGAGTCGGCGCCAGCTGCTCGCAGCCAACGGAGACGGAAGGGGAGGGAGGGAGTGCATGGGGCCCATCAGACACAGCGAGGGCCCCGCAAAGGTCCCCGGCCTCTGCATCAGCTATCCCTTCCAGTGAGAAGTTAATTTATTTTAATTGCAAAGCCATGTGGGTATCAGCAAAGTCTGCAGGGAAACACCCATGACAAATAGAACTATCAGACAAGCTCTTCCTGCGTTCCTGTGGCAAGGCTGCCATACGCATCCATTCCTGTAGGTGGCGTTTGACTCAGAGTGGTCTTTCTCACTGTCACGTTAAACCCAGAGCAGTCTAAGCGTTATTCGGATGGGATGGCCTGTGCCCCGTGATCTGCATTGTTACCAGGAAAATCGGAGCAACCCGCAGTTTACAGAAATGTACAAATTTACAGAGACTTGCATACTGAACATCCTGGTGTGATCGAGCGACATTTTGGTGAGAATAAGCTGTTCCCCCTAGATCGTGGCTCTACCCCTTGACCGTAACATAACAGTGTTAAACTCTCCCTTTTGGCCGAAGCTGTATTATGGCTGCAGATGCTCCAGTCGTCCACTATCCAGAGAGGGGATGCTTATTGCCCCATTACAGACATTCATTTCAAATCCGTTCAGACAGATTATTTGTCCACAGTTCAAGCAGTTAGTCGGCGGATTGTTCACATGCTACAAGTGTCAAAATGAAACTTCCTCCTAGTTGATCCCTAATTCTTTACACCACAGAATATG